AAACAAACAAACGAACAAACAAACAAACAAACATGCATAGGCTTTAAACAACTTGAAGCGACTGGCAAGGAAAGGAAGCTCCATCTCGAATATGATGAGATGCTAGGCTACCAGAACGGCCCGCGGTCAATTGCCCGGCCGGGCCAAAAAAATAAAAATAATAGAATAAAAAGTATTAAAAACAAATATTTTATTTTTTTATTTTTCATTTTAAATTTGCGAAATAATTTCGATATGACCCTGAGGCAAAAGTGGTTCAGTTTATGTTTCTGAATAACATAGTTTTTTTTTTCGGAGTTTTGGAGTTTTTTTTTTTGTTTTTTTTTTTTGCCTGGGACGTTCTCTGGTTCTTGCACGGGCTGGCCACCCGGGACCCGGGCGGCCTAGGCTGGTAGCCTAGATCAGATGTGGATTCATAGCTACTACGTAGCCCGATGTGTTCTCTGTACAAGGGGCCTATAAGAATAGACTATACTGGATAGCTTGTCCTGCACCTCGCAGAATAGACTATATATAGTGTATAGGGTGTGAAAGCTACCCTACAAGCATCTGAGAGTCCCAGTTATAGGCAGGCTGAGACAATTTATATGGCTATAAGAATAGACAATTTATACGGCTATAAGAATAGACAATTTATACGGCTATAAGAATAGACAATTTATATGGCTGTAAGAATAGACAATTTATATGGCTATGAGAATAGACAATTTATATGGCTATAGGAATAGACAATTTATGGCAGACCTGCAAGCATCTGAGAGTTCCAGTTTTGTTTGTTTGTTTTTTTTCTAACTTTTTTTTTTTTTTTTTTTTAATGGACAGGCTGAGACAATTTATATTGCTATAAGAATAGACAATTTGTATGGCTATAGGAATAGACAATTTATATGGCTATACAAATAGACAATTTATATGGCAATAAGAATAGACCATGCAAACCAGCACCTAGGGTTCTGCGAAGTTGGCTTGGTGCTGTGGGTCGAGAAGCGATCAAAGTGAACAATGCTGGTAAAGGTTAATTGCAGGGGGGGGGAGGAGAAACAGGGCCTTATGGCAAACCGATCAAAGTGAACAAACCGATCAAAGTGAACAATGCCGAATGTTTAGGATTCTGGGACTTCTATCAATTTTTCCTAGGCTTCTTTGAAGTTGGTATACTCAGCGATCTGTGGTTGTTCGATGCCAGAACGATGCTGGCCGGTGCTGGGGTGTTGCCCTGTTACCTGTTGACACAGGAGTGTGAGGCCTGGTAGAGAGATCTGGGGATGCTTTGGGGTGGGCATCTCACGGGACAACCAAGGTTTGCTGCTGGGATGACGCTGGCCGGAGATGGGGCGAGTTGTGTTGCCCTGTAACCCAGCAGGAAGTGGGGGTGTGGGGCCTGTAAGAGCTCGGCAGGGAGTAAGACAACTTTGAGGAACTTTGGAAAGATTTGGCAGGGAGGTCGAGATTCTGGGAGTTTCTTTTAGGACCCAGGCGGTCTATTCTCAAAAGAAACGAGGTGAGTGGGAGAAGAAGATGGTGGGATATCATGCGTCCTACTAGTGAGGGGGCTAGCTGGTAGGATTGGAATAGGGTATAGCAGCAGTAGAGATGGTGGCTCTGCTGCAGTAAGTCTTGCCGGAGTGAGGAACAGAGGATTGATGGGGGGGGGGTTCGAGTCGGATTTTGAATCCTGCTGATTCTTAAGGTCTGTTGTAGTCATTTCCTAAGTAGCTCCAATGTTTTGAGCCAAACAAAAACGAGGGGGAGTGGGGAAGGAGATGGTGGGATATCACGCGTCCTACTAGTGAGGGGGCTAGCTGGTAGGATGGGAATAGGGCATAGCAGCAGCGAAGATGGTGGCTCTACTGTAGTAAGTCTTGCCGGAGTGAGGTAAAGTGGATGGATGGGAGGGGGGGGGGTTCTGAGTAGTTTTCTGAAATTCTGTTCATATTTTGAAGTTTGTCGTAGCCATTTTCTAAGTAGCTTCTTTTTTTCTGAGCCAAAAAAAAAAGAAGGTACTTCAAAAAGAAAATAAGGAGTGTGGGAGAAGATGGTGGGTTATCACGCGTCCTACCAGTGAGGGGGCTAACTGGCAGGATGGGAGTATGGCATAGCAGCAGCAGAGATGGTGGCTCCGCTGCAGTCAGTCTTGCCGGAGGGGGGTAAAGAAGATTGATGGGGGGGGTTCTGAGTCGTTTCTGAATTCTGCTTAATCATGAAAGTTGTTATGGACATGCCTGAAGTAGCTCCCATTCTTCAAGCCAAAATCGGGTAATGGCCCCGGTATCTCAATTTCTAAATTTTCATCCTTAGGCTAATTAGATTTTTCTAGTAGTTCCTTGTCTTATTCTCATGGAATTTTCTGATGAAGTTTTCTGAACGTACTCGTTATGGGACGCTGGGCCCGGTTCCCAGTTTGTGCCAATTTGTGAAGATATGGTTGTATCTATGGGACGCTGGACCCGGTTTCCAGCAGGTGTTGCTCCCCACCAATAGATGGAGTTTTTTTGTACAAAAAAAAAAAGAAGGGGTCAATCCCCTGGTAGCAAGGGTAATCATTGCTGGCAGGGGAAGAATTTCCAACAAAATGTTCCAAAATGATGTTCATTTTTCATAAGGGACATTGGGCCTGGTTCCCAGCACCTGGGGCCTGGACCGACATGCACCATTTTACGCTTCGGGTCTGGCGTTTTCGATTACGTGCCGCCGTCCGTGACAAATCGGGGCCGTTGATTGGAGTCCGTATCGACTGTCCACGGCGATTGTGTGTGTTTTCAGCAAGGTAGTTGAAGAGCAACCAATATGATTTTTTATAAATCGTTTGTTGGCCATTTAGTTGTCCACTTTGCGTTGGCGCGAAGCTTCAATTCTATGTTTTTTTTTTGTATGGGGTGTTTTTGAAGCTTCGCGCCAACTCATTTCGGCGTTCCGAAATTGAGAATCGGGAGTCTAAGGTGGACAAAATATAATTGCTCCGAACACTGACAGTTCAGAGGCCCGTGGGGAACGACGTGTTTGGTGTGAGGTTGGGCGTGTCCAAGTATAGTTAATGATGTGTGGTATTGCGTTCAAATACGTGGGTGTCGTCCGTCCCTGGTCGTCTTTCTGGGACACATGCACCCCCCTCCCCCCGACCCGGTCGTGAGGCGTCATATGACGACCAGCATCTAGGCTTTCCGAAAAGGGAAAGTCCTCATGTGGAAACGGTCGGGTACCCGTGCTTGCGTGCGGCTGCGTACACGGACACGGGTGCGAGCCAAATCCATGGCGTTGCACATGTCGGGGTCGCGTGGCAATTACACGCATTCACGCGAATCCGCCCGAATCCGCAAGACATTCAGATCGGGGTGGGAAATGCTTCTCCGTACCGTGTCGGGATATGGTTGTCGCCTCCTTTCCATTTCTCTCCGTTGCACGCCTTTGCACTTCGTCACTGTTCTCCGTTCAATTACTGCACAGGGAAAATGACACCTCGGACACGTCCATTGTCCATGGCCCGCCACACCCAGCACGATGGTCTGTCTTGTATCGGCGACTGGGGGTGGTCTGAGTCCCGGGACGACGGCCCACCACATGCAGGGTCCGGGCCCCGTCTGTGGCCCCCAGTCGCCGATGGTCGCCGACTGTGTGACCGATGCACCGCACTCCGACGTTGTGACCCACGGTCCCATCTTGTCGTCACCGGTGACGCCTGTTCTGAAATTCAGAATCGGTCTGTGCGGAGAGGATGAGCACAGTCTCCGTCAGTGCTGAGAATGCGTGCAATGGCTATGGCCGAAGGGCTCACACCGTCTATGAACTCTGACACGATGCCTTCCCAGCAGCATGAGTCAGGCAGTGCAGCTACGATCTCGCCCATTACCCAAACGACTCACCGCGTGTCATCGGAGTCGTCGCGTGATGGTGCTGTCATGCAGCAGCAGTGTCCGCCTGCCGCGTCATCTGAGTACGTCCTGAACCGAATCATCCGGGATATTGAGGCTGGTGTGCGTACACTGGAGTCCGATTATGTGAATGTCGGAGGTGAGGCTGTTTCATTGCACACAAGCCCCTCGCACACACCTTCCCCATTGCACACTCCCGGCGGTGTACCCGCGGCCACTCCGTCCCCTGTCGTCAGGGAGTCCGGAACGCATGACACAGCACCGAGGTCTCGATCTTCTCCAAGCCCACCTGCGGCCATCCCGTCCCCGATCAACGGCAATGTGTCATCTCACACACCGCCTTCCGTATCAGTCCCGTCAGGGACATGTGCGGGCGGGCTGTCCCAGAACACGCGTCGAACGCCGTCTTCGGGGGAGAAGAGCACGGACCGGTGGGGGGAGACCGAAACTGAGTGGTTGTGCCAGTTCCGTAACGAAGTGAAGGAGTTGATGGGCCAAGAGACTGAGGCGTACGGGCGTGTGAGGCTGAAAGCTGGTTTTTGGAAGATAGTGGAAGAGCGCATGCGTGCGAAGGGTTACAACCGTGACCACGAGCAGTGCAAGAACAAGTTCAACCAGATCCTCGACTACTACAGGAGGTTGAGGGCGCACGAGGGTTGGAATATGAACCAAACGAGGCGGAAGAAGTACAACGTGGACTTCGTACTTCATCGCAGTTGGTACGACATCATACACCCGGTGGAGAAGGATAAGGACTCTATTAACCTGACGAATCTGATGGATTCCGGGGCGGACGACGAGCGTGTTGAAAACGGAGAGGGGGTCAGCGACAGGGACGGGGCCATGGAAGGTGGGAGCGAAGACAACGGATCCAGGTATGGCGGTTCGCCCGGAGGCTCACAGTCGATAGGTTTCGAGCCGACGCTCGGCAAACGAAAAAGAGGTGCCGCCAATGCACGCGAATCCAGTGTGTAGGTTGTGACAGTTGCTATGCGTGCTCACACGACTGCGCTGACTCGATCGGACATGGAGTGCGCGAAGATGCGCTGTCAAGCAACTTGTGACATCGCTCAGATGAACCGCACAACATACACCACACAGGACCCTCGAAACAGCATCCCCGTGAAGTGTGCTGCCACCACCCCACTGTCATTATGAGGCCGTCAGAGTCACGCGGGGATTGTGCTCGTTTTTTTTTTTTTCGCATTTCCGGAAAACTTTAACAGTCTTTTTTTTTTTTGCGAGAAAATGCAAAACGGGCGCCGCACACCGATTTACGCGTTGCATTTCGGTCCAGGCCCCTGCTGCTCCCCACGAAAAGATCGGAGTTCTCTAAAATAAAATAAAAAAGAAAGAAAAAGAAAAAAAAAAGATGAATGTGAAAGGGATGGTGGACCAGTTCCAGCAGGTGACGCCCCCCACCAGTAGATGGAGCCTGCCCCGCAACGCGAGTGGTGTTTGCCCTGTCTCTTATACACATCTAGATGTGTATAAGAGACAGGTCCAGGCCCCTGCTGCTCCCCACGAAAAGATCGGAGTTCTCTAAAATAAAATAAAAAAGAAAGAAAAAGAAAAAAAAAAGATGAATGTGAAAGGGATGGTGGACCAGTTCCAGCAGGTGACGCCCCCCACCAGTAGATGGAGCCTGCCCCGCAACGCGAGTGGTGTTTGCCCGTACCAACGCCACTAGCGCACAAAGAAGAATAGTGTGGTAGGCAGGCGGGTGAAGGCACTCACAACGACAAGCAGGGGCGCTATGAAGATGAGGAGGGTAGGGGAGCAATGGATGCCCCAACAGCATGCCTATGACCACAATGTGGAGACAACGACGAATGCAGCACTCGAGACGTGGCGGAGGCATTATAAATTAAAGCCTCCAAGGTGCTCACCCGGCCAGGCTCCACCCGTTGCAGGATGGCGGGTCTGAGTCGCCAGTCTTTGTCACTTCATCCTCCCCCAGAAAGGTTGGGCCTACTGTAGGCTGTCAGGTATCCAAGCAGCTTAGGCAATTTGGTAGCTCTCTCTACTTCCCTATTTCTGTACTTTGTAGGTGAGCCCTGTAGCCCACTGTCATCACAATGGTATGTCTGATTCATCAAACAAACAGTTACAATGTTCGGGGGGGAAAAAAAAAAAAAAAGTTGGGCCTATTGGTAGGCCCCAATTTCTTTGTTCAGCAATTGGATTGACCCAGTACCTTCCCGGTGTGGCTGTCAATAGGGAAGTTGAGCCTCAAAGTGGGCATGTGTGAAAATGTGCCGAGTGGTACCACTCAGAGTCTCAGACCAGATAGGGCCAACTGACAACCTGGATTGTAGCACAGGATGACGATCACTTCCTTTGCTATTTCCATTCCTCGTATTTCGGGGAGGAGGTCTTGTAGTGATTTTCTCATATTCATACTCAAGTGGAGTACAGTAGGGGGTTGTGTGGATCTGTTCGTGTGCTTCAGTTGATGATTTGCATGCCATGTGTGTATTGTTCTGAGTGTGGCTTCCACGAATTCACTTCCATAAACGTTTGTATGCATCTTGTATGATCTCTATATATGCGTAAATACATCCATCAAGCTATGTATACATCTCGTATGATCTCTATATATGTATAGGGTTGTCTCCTGACGTGTCAGCGAAACTCTTAAGGAAACAATCCATCACAACCCCTCATTTGTTATTTTTTTCTCCCTCTCTGCCTACGGTTCACCAGACAGTTGTGTCTGATGATATATATAGATATATGTATATACTATTATATATTATATATAATATATACACATATATATACAAAGAAGAATGAGAAAAATGAGTGGTTTTAGTATGCCCCTCGTGTTTGTCTTGTTTTTTAAGCCACCAGTACTTCCTAATGCCGTGCCTATTAACAATCCATGATTTTTGGAAACGTACGGGCCACTACAGGAGCGCCCAAATACATCCGACTAAATTTTTAACAAGAAACACACACAAATGAATCAACACATATATGTTAGTGTATGTGTGCATATCTTTAAATTTTTATTGGTCTTCATATCTAGTGATCTCGTTGGATCTATGTGACGATATATATATATATATATATATATATATATATATATATATATATATATGTCTGTAGAGTTTTCCATCTGGTGTGGGTGAGTGATAGTCTACTTTGATTTTGGTTAAGGTAGAT